TTTACTGGCGTCTGATAAGTAAAACTTCAACTTTAGTGTAGAGGAAGCTTAGGTTTGCCCATAGCCTACCCCCAGGTTGGAGGCACTGCGAGCTACCTTTGCCAAGAACAGATAGGTACAGTATGAGTAGGCATCTCAAGGTGACTGCTAGCCACCATGCCTCTAGATAGGCATTAGGGACTGGAGATGGCAACAGAAGGACTCTACTCAACACTAATCTGGCCGCCACATATCACTACCAATTATGATTTTGTAAAAAGATACATAATTCCTCTAATAGTTATATACTTGTGGAGGAATTCAAAAGGTTTTGCTCCTCACCATGTATGAGAGAAGGTCGGACTCGGAACCAAAGGCATTGTATGGGCCACCCTTCGTCTTTGAGCCAGTCATGATGATGCTTTGGTGGAGGCAGTCATAAGGTCAGGCTCAGGCAATGACTTATTCTAACTATTGAAAGTCCCACCATCTTCAGAAACTGAGAGCAGTTGGTACTGGGTGGTAGTCTAATATCTAAAGAGCTACATAAGGGCCTTAAAAAAGTTGTTGTTGAGAGTTCTTGACCTCCTGTGAGCTGAACCTTGGTAGGAAAATGTCTACGTTTGCCTAAATTTCAGTCATATGAACCTCACCAGCCTTGTTCTTGTTTTCATAGGTGTTCCAGAGGGGGTCAAGGACCTTCCTCCGGGGGTGGCTCTACCGCTGGAATCCAACCTGGTTTACATGAATGGAATCAGCTTCTCCAAAGGATGTTACCTGGGCCAGGAGCTAACGGCCCGGACTCACCACACCGGAGTTATCCGCAAGCGGCTGGTGCCTGTGCAACTCTCGTCGCCATTGTCGCCCGAGTGCGAGCAGTCTGAGGTTGTCACGGCGTCGGGGAAAGCAGCTGGCAAATACCGAGCCGGAGTCGGGGACTCGGGCCTTGCGCTGCTGAGGCTGGAACATCTCGGAGTGGAACTTCAGATAAAAGTAGGAGGTCGGGAGCCCGTCGGTGTGAAGGCCTCTGCGCCGGAGTGGTGGCCGAAGCCTGGAACTAGCTCATGACGAGGCTCCATCAGTGAACGTTATGAGACCTCACTGTGACCGAAAGAGTGTTGAATATTATTGTATTTTTATAGACTGCAGGACGTTGTGTGCCTTCTGCATCCTCTATTGCGCCTCTGTGTGGTCATATACGGGAACTGCATTGTTTATTGTCTGCAGACAAGGTCATGGAACCATGCAAATAAAGCAGCACAAACCGCATTCACCTTAGGCATCATTTACCGATATCCACCAATCCTGAACAGGTTTACTGACGTCTGATAAGTAAAACGTCAACTTTGATTGGTTGTCACCATTTTACCTGTACATCATTGCTCTTTACTGAATACGTTGGCATGTTTATTAACTCCACCCACGGTCCGCATTTCGATGGGCCAGTTTGCGGGTGGGTGTGCCCAAATTAGTGGCGTAATGCGAGGGTTGCGGCCCACACCCGGGTGCCACCATTGGAGGGGTGACACCAAAATGACAGCCATTTTGGTGTCACCCACTATGAAATGTCGGGCACTCGGTCACGGAGTCAGGAAAGAGGAGGGGACCTGGCGGCATACCACATCCCACCGGGTGAACGTCCCCTCCTTTCTGCCGGCGTCCATCACCAAAATGGCCGCCGGTAGGCGTCAATAAGACGACCGAGAATGCGGTGTCACCCAGCCTTGGGAAGCCCCTGGCCCAAATATGCCCTTTTCCCCTAATCATCTTCTAGGACAGCAACCTGACCATCCTGGTGAATCCGGCACAGTTGCCTGGACACGGCACCAGAGGGCCAAGATGCGGGACCGTCCTGGTTAATCCGGCACAGTTGCCTGGACACGGCATCAGAGGGCCAAGGTGCTGGACCGTCCTGGTGAATCCAGCACAGTTGCCTGGACACGGCATCAGAGGGCCAAGGTGCTGGACCGTCCTGGTGAATCCGGCACAGTTGCCTGGACACGGCATCAGAGGGCCAAGATGCGGGACCGTCCTGGTGAATCCGGCACAGTTGGCATCTTTGCGTTTCATAGGGAGCAAGTGTATGCAGCTAACGCAACTGTTTCATTTTGGAGGATTTGCGATCCCAATCAAAAAACTCAAATAAGCTTTAAAACAGAACTCCGGGCAACTCCAATCTTCACCCTCCCAGAGGGGCCACCCCGGCAACTGCGAGGGTTACGTCATCTTGTCCAGGGTGCTAATATAAGAAAGTTATTCTCACCCGAACCGTGATCCCGGCTGGCTTGTCCCGCAGTGTCCTCACGTTCTATACACTGAACGTGATGACTCGCAGGACCTTTGGCTGCTGGAGCGGAAGGGGAGCGAGGCCGAAAAGACCCGTCTAAGAGCCAGCCGGGATCACTGTTCTGGTGAGTATAACTTTTTTTTTAGTTTCAGCTCCCTGGACAAGCTGAGCACTTAACCCCCTTACAGGGAGGGGGCGACCCCACCGCAAGGGTGAAGATTCCATGTGCCTGAGGTTCTGCTGCTTTAACATACCCTGTTTCCCCGAAAATAAGACCTACCCCGAAAATAAGACCTGGTTTGGTGGTAGCATGTGAGGGGGAACTTGAAGCGCAGGAGAGATGGTATCAGCCTGCAGGGACATACTGTATTAAGGGGATGACAGGGGACGCCCTCCGGCCGGCGCAGTGAAAGGGAGCACTCTAGTACCATACTTCACCAACTGCTGTCCCCCTGAAGGCACTGCTTAATGTAATGGTACTGTACTGTAATGTGTAGCGGTAAATGGTACCGTACTTTACCGCGCTGTCTGATGTCCCCATTGCTGCACCGCTGGTACCGCTCTCCCTGATGGCAAAGGAAGCCGGCGCTGTAGAAAGCAAGGCTGCGGCGGCGGAGGGAGCAGAGCCGCATTAGCCGATACTTCCTCTATAGCGCCAGCAGGCGCGTAATTAGAAATCACAGGGCCCCATAGCAAAATTTTGTATGGGGCCCCGTGATTGCTAGTCATGCCACTTGCAGAGCCCTGGCGGAGAGTGACCCTGCAGAGCCCACCATAGACTCTCTATAGTGGGCTCTGCAGGGTCTGAGATCTCTTACCTGTCAGCGCCTCTGTGGTCGCCGGGCCCTGACTCCTGTTCCATCCCCGGGCCCCGACTCCTGTTCCGTCCCTGGGCCCCGCCTCCTCTGCTATCGACGGGCCCCGCCTTCTCTTACATCACTGGCCCCACCTGCTCTTAGGTCGCTGGCCAGTGATGTAAGAGGAGGCGGGCCCCGCCTCCTCCATTCCGAACAACGCCCTCATCTGCTGCAGCAGCTGGCTGTCACTGACACAGCTCCGCAGCGGCTATGAGGGGAAATGCACTGCGGCCGCTGCTGAGCTGTGTCTGTGACAGCCAGCACCCCCACACCCCCACATGCCATAGCGAACCGGGCGGCCCTGGCCGGGCCCCATAGCGGCCGTCTGGGTCGCTATGGCGATTGTTACGCCACTGAGCGCCAGTACTGTGACAAGCAGAGTGATACCAGATAACTTTAGATTGTTGTACAGAAGACATCCCCTGAAAATAAGACCTAGTGTGTTTTTTGGGGGGGCAAAAAAATATATAAAACAGTGTTTTATTTTCGGGGAAACACGGTTTTATTATTATTTCATCAGCCATTTTGACTCGTTTTAAATCTGCAGATTTTTGGGAAACAATCACTGGCGATCCTGCCAATGAATGCCTGATTCAGGCACTTCCTGTTAGAGGGTGACAACGCTCTGTCCACGTCTCCCAGTTGCTCTACTCTTATTGTCACACGGGCGAGTGGTGGTTTCAAAATACATTACACATACACGGTCTGCTGTTGTCACCATCGGGGGAAAAGCGCGCTGGGAAATGCCGCGCAGCCATTGCTGGAGTGCGTGTAGACAGGAAGTGGCCGCACTGGTAGATCAGCGGCACTGAGATGTCAGACATCTCAACTCTCCCGGAAGCTCCGGGAGTCTCCCGCTATTAGATAGCGGCTCCCGGCCGCCCGGGAGAGAAACATTTTCTCCCGGAAAGGTTTAATCTGCTCTATCAAGCAGATTAAACCTTTCCCTGCGATCGTTTTTTTTTTTCTTTTCTGACATCGGGAGCCGCGGCCCGACCGTCAGTCAGAAAAGAAAAAAAAAATGCATACGATTGCATAGCTAGATTCCTATTGGCTATTGCACTTTGCAATAGCCAATAGCAAACTAGGTAATGCACCCGCCCACTGCTGCTGTCAATCAGCAGAGGGGGACCTGAATTTTTCTATCAGGTCCTCTTCTGCTGATTGAAAGCAGCAGTGGGCGGGTGCATTACCTATACATGTATGGGGATCCGGGTACCGCCCTGGGGGACATGTATGGGGGTCCGGGTACCGCCCTGAGGGACATGTATGGGGATCCGGGTACCGCCCTGGGGGACAGGAATCAATGAAAAAAACACTTTTAACCACTTGCTGACCGAGGTGTTTACACCCCCTTCCTGGCCAGGCCATTTTTCAGTATTCAGCGCTGCGGTACTTTGACTGACATTTATTCCGTCATACAACGCTGCACTAAAATGAATTTTATACCATTTTTTGGGGACAGATAGAGCTTTCTTTTGGTGGTATTTAATCACCTCTGTGAGTTTTATTTTTTCCGCTATATTTAGGTAAAATTACTGAAAATTTTGAAAAAAAAAAGTTGTTTTACATTATGTTAGGAAACAATTATTATTACCCAATTATTTTGGTAAAAAATAAAACTCGGGGTCACGTCGGGTAAATAGACACCAAACATGTCAAGCTTAAAAATTACGCGCACCCGCGAAATCACAAATAAAACTACCATACCCAAAATTGACCATAGGCGACGCTTTAAAAGCTTTTACCGCTCATCAGTTTAGTGTTATCAGTGATTGATGGCCCTAGACTTATTGCTTTCACTGCGACGTTCGCGGCGATATGTAACATGTGCGACGTAATGGGCGCAATCGTCGTTTTCGCAGGTATGCGCACCTGACGCATGTTTGCATCCATGTATGTATGGGTAGGGACTTTAAAAAATTTGTTTGTCTAACTTTAACTTTTGTTTTTGGAAACTTAAATTTTTTTTCCTATCTTTTTTTTTTTTCCACTTAACTTTATTATGCCCATCACTGGCGGAGACAAGACCAGTCACCCTGCAGAAGGAGAGAGAGCAGCAGTGAGCAGTCTTTATTACAGGAAGGGGGCGGAGACAAGACCAGTCACCCTACACGAGGAGAGAGCAGCAGTGATTGGTCTTTATTACAGGAGGGTGGTGGAACACTCCTCCCCTGGCTGGGTTCCCGGCAGTCAGAATGTTGCTCTCCTGCCCATGTCCCTCGCTGTCAGTACATGACCATGCAGTCACATGACCACGCTGACCAATGAAAAGCACTTCTGACCTGGCGATCAGATCCTGGAAGTATGGAGCGTGTCCCTTTGGTCAGCGCAGTCATGTGACTGTACTGGCTAATGAATGCGCACCATTTGTAAGCATTATGCCCTTTGCTCTGTAAAGTGCGGTGTACAGCGGGGGGGCCGGAAGAAGTGGCGGGGTGCTGTCCGTAAGTAAAATTTTTTTCAAATTTTGCGAAAAAATGAACTTACCCTTTAAAGCAGACATGCACTAAAAAACAAAGTCTGTTTAAAGCGGAACTACACCCTCCTAACCCTACAGCCAAGGAAGGCGATCGTTGCATCTATTTGCATTGCAGTCGCCATGGTGATGCACATGTGATCAACTGTGACGCCAGCCATTAGAGGGCATGAAAGTTCGGTTGAGAGCTGAACTAGGCACACTGCCAACCTTAATGGTTGGCCCACCTTCAAAGTAACTGTTCTGGGGAAGCATTAAATTGGTGGATAAAGTTCAATTTGTAGCATTTATACCTCAGCCCGTGGGTGGATATGCAAGGTGGCAGTGTGTATTGGCACAGAGTCATGGATTATAGTCTGTTTATTGACACATCAATGAAGGCAAGGCTCCATTCCCCTCAAACCCACACTTTTCCCGCCCAATCGAATCCGTAGCCTCATTTACATAGCCGCGCCCATCCCCCCGCCGCCGATTGGTCAGCGCCGGTTAGAGCGGCGGGAAGACAGAACCGTGCGGTGGGAAAGGGAGTCACGTGAGTGAGGAGGAGGA